TTAGTCTGGGCATGTTGGAAGAGTTCTTAGGACCATACATTTGTCTATCTGTACCTCATGACCTACATACACTATACTATTATATGGATTTAATATAATTATCAGAGATTATACATATTCCCTTGGCACAATAAAGATATTTCAAGACTGTCTCTATCTTTAGTTGGAAAACGCATTGATGCACAAATGGCCTTTCCAAATGAAATGTCATTTAATTCAATAATACAATTATTTCTTTGCCATATGCTACTATTAAGTGAAGTAATTGTGTGAGAATTGCAGTCTACTTCCCTTAAACTTTCCAGTTTTATTCACTAAAAAGTTTCAACTTTAAATAACATATGCATAAACTGTAAAATAACTATCATTTTAAAACTAAAGTTTTAAATTTCACATCCCTGAAATGATGCTTCTCTATTTTTCTGTATTCTAATCAGAATTTAAGAAGAACAAACTGAAACAATGTGTGTATGTTAGCTGAAATGAGTTGAAATGAATCTTATTTTTCAGAAGCAAGAAAATCAGTTACCCAAAGGTAATTAGCAAAGTACAATTTACTTTAGGATTGAAGCAATTGAAAATACACACACATTGGTTTCCTAGGTGAGGAGGGAGCAAGAGAGGAGGAAATGTGTCTTTCAACTTCCAATCTGGTACTTATCTTTTAAAAAATAAATTAACCTCCTTTTTTTATGTGTGGCAGGTTTAGATCCAGATAAGCATCTTGGAAAAACCCTGCATCAAATGGAGCCTTATCTTTTAGAGGTAAGAATTTAGACTAGTTCTCAAAATAATAGATATTCGAATGGTGCCATGGTATGGTGAAATCAAGTCTGTTTTAGAAAAAAACCAAGCTATTTTTATGACATTTTTATGAAAAATATCAAGCTTCTAAAGGATATGAAAATATGCTTAAAATTAAGAAAGTTTTTACCAACTCTTTGACCTTAATATAAGGGTCTATAAGTTATCTCTAAGAAATTTTTCTGCTTGAAAGTTTACTTTTGGTAAAATGAACATTTGTTCTGCTTTTGAAAAAGAACTCTGTTCCTGAAGCTTCTGATGGTTTCTGCGAACAGTTGTTTGTCATCAGAAACAAGAGTGGCAACTTCCTTTAGGTACAATTTTCTCAAACCTCTTGTCGTATAGCAATCGGAGTGCATTCACAGCATAGCAAAGAGATTATCTCAACAGTTCACATTACAATGTTCAACCCTGACTGTTGTCATTCCTGAATGTGCCCCAAATATTAAAGAAGATTTAGTTATTTTCATTTTGTCTTTCATATTAATGGTCTTACATGTTATTAGATTATTTTTGGACAAATGTTACAATTTGTATGGCAATATCTAATGAACTAGAATATAGTATATTATTAAAGTTTAATAGTACTCTAATGAGGAAAAAAATTACTGTATTACCATGAAAAAATGACGTCTTCTTATAAGTCATCATCGCTCCATCCTATACTCCTAATTCATCAGCATTGTCTCCAGGCA